ACTTGTCTGGCGCAGCAGCCGCTGCTTGCTCTTTAGGTAACGCATCGTGTGGAATGGTGTCGATGAGGCATATCAGAGATATCAGTCGTTAGCTTTTTCATGAGTAGCTTCTGAAGGCACGCCTTGCAGTGATGGAGCGCGAACATGCGCGAGTAGTAGTGATAATAATGATAATAAGCTTTATTATTTCCCTCAAAAAACCCCTAAAGGTGGGGCGGCAACAGCTACTGCCTGAGGCTGGAGGTTTGGAGCCGTGGGCGTTACGGCTGTATCACGACTGTATGCAGAATGAGAAGGAGCCAGCAACCGGGCTGCGTTGCAGCTGCAGTAGCCGAAGCAGCTGCCTTGAGCACGGCAGCAGCAGTAACGGTAACACCAACAGCAGCAAGAGCTGGTCGTACTACTTGCTCGGTTGGGGCGCCGCCGTAGTTGTAGGTTCACCTGTAGGGTCACCTAAACATAAAAATTGAGTATCAGATGTGCCTTTGGGGCGGCGCCGTAGTCGTAGGGTCACTTGAACATAACGATGACATAGTAGATGAGCATTTGACATCATATGTGGCCCGCGTCTGGCTGTTGTTGTTGTAACGTATAATTCTATTATTCATCTAATAATAGTGAAAATATTGAGACACCTTATTGCAATATTATATTGCTGACGTTTAACCGGGACTCCAGGTGCAGTTGTCGAACGCTCTGTCGATCTACGTGCAGACAACGCTACTGGGGCCATCCTAATGCGCCTATACGGATACGAGGCATGTAAACCATAGACCCTAACCGCTAAGCCCTAAACCCTAACCGCTAAACCATAATCACCAAACCGTTCATCTAAATCCACAACTGTAGCAGCTGTTTTCTGAAACCGAGGCGCAGCCCTTTGCTGCCAACTTTGAAGGGGGGGGGGGCGTTCGGGAGTCGAGTGCTCGCGGCTCCCCCCTGAGGGGCCTCGGGTACGGTGGTGCCAGCAGCAGCAACAACAGCAACAGGAAGCAAGCAAAGCAAATACTTTCTGCTGCTTGGCTGCTGAAAAATGCGCAGCAGCGGCAGCAGTAGCGACAGCACCAGCAGCGGAAGGGGTACTTGACTCTGTAGGCACGCCGCCATAATGTTTGCTGNAGCAGTAGCGACAGCACCAGCAGCGGAAGGGGTACTTGACTCTGTAGGCACGCCGCCATAATGTTTGCTGCTAGGGCTCGACGCCCATGCTGCTGCGTAGCCTGGTCCACCATCAAACTGCAACAGCTGGTGCTGCACCAACCGGTGCAGCACCAGTTGCAGCAGCAGCGGTCTTTGCTCAGCCTGAGCAGCACCATAGGGGCCCCAACAGAAAGGACAGTGCACACGCTGCTCAGCCTCAACGGCACCATAGGGGCCCCAACAGAGAGGAGAGTGCACACGCAACTGCAACAGCAGCAGCAGGATCAACAGCAGCAACAGGTGCAGCGGAGCTGCCATGGGCTGACCCACCCCGCTGGTACTGATTCTGTTGCTGCTGTGCTCAGCCGGTTTGTTGCTGCCTGCCGTAGCTTCGAGAGACACCAGCAACAGCAACGGGAGAAGAAGAACCGGCAGCAGCTGCAGCAGCAGCAGCAACAAGGCATAGAAGCAGGCACTGCGGCGTACCTCAGCGCAGCAAGAGCAGCAGTTGCTGCAGCACCTGTTGCGTGTATTCAGGCGGCGCTACAGGCACTGCAGCAGCAATCGCTGCCCCTCTCTTTGTTGCTGCCGCTTGTCGAGGCATTTTATGCTGCTGCTGACGAACGGATCCAGCATCAACTGCAACAGCAACAGCATCTGGTGCTGCTTGGCCAGCAACAGCAGCGGCAGGCCGCAGAGGACCTATTGCAACTGGCGTTGCTGCTACAGCCGCGCGCATTTGTTTTAGGTGGGAAGCGGCAACAGCAGCAGATAGAAGAGTTGCTTCTGCTGCTGCCGCTGCAAGCACGACAGCAGCAAGAAAGGGCCCGTAAGGCTGCCCGGCTGCTGCTGTCGCCTCTGCTTCTCCACGAGCAGCAGCAGCTGCTGCGGGAGTCGCTGCTCGCAAGGGCATTGCTGCAGGCCACAGATCAGGGACTGCAGCAGCTGCTGCAGCATGCAGCAGCAACCTACCTCGGGGAGTACATCAAGAGCAGCAGCAGCGGCAGCAAGAGGAGAAACTGCAACGCCCGTGTGGCGCTTGCAGCGGCGTTACTACGTTCATGTGCTACTACCGCGCCTTCTGAAAAGGTATTCGATGCCACAGTAGACTTCCTTCTCCATGCAGCAGCAGAAGCTGCTGCTGCTGAGTCCTCTCCAGGCAGCGGCTACTCGTTGCAGCAGCGACAGCAGCAACTTGCTGTGTGGTGTGACGTCTCTGCTGCCTTGTGCTTGAAGCAGCAGCAGCAGCGTTTCTTGCAATGCCTGCTCCCAGGTGTACAGTCAGCTCTATGTGCTTCTCTCTCAAAACTGCAGCAGCAGCAGGAGCAGCAGCAGACAGGACTGGAGGCGGTAAGCTCCGCCGCACACCATTTGGAGCCAGCAGCAGCGGCGCTTGTGTTGCTACGTGCACGGGCTGCGTTTGCAACGAATGCAGCAGCAGCAGGTGACAGAACAAGAGCCGGATGCGACTCAGCAGCAGCAGCAGCAGATGCCGAGGCTCCCGATCCGCAGGCTGTGCTCTTCTCGCGGGCCCTATGGAGCTTGACTGAACACCAGCAGCAGCCGCAGCAGCAAAAGCAACAGAAAGACAATACAGACTTAAGTACCGCAGTATCCACACTCCAAGAAACGTTCTTGCGACTGTGGAGACAGCTACAACAGCAGCCGCAACAGAATGCGATGCTTTACAGGCCCTTGGTGCCTCGTCCTCCTCCATTATCTCCCTTCAGTTCCGACGCCGGCGCAGCAAAAGACGCAGCAACAGCAGCAGTGGTAGCAGGGGCAGCAGCAGCAAGAGCAGCGGGAACAGCACCAGGGACCAACACGCCAACTGGATCCCCTCAGAAGACACCCGACTCAGAGGTAGCGCTGCTGGGGCTGCTGCAGCAGCTGCTGCTGCTGGCCGACGTTCCGCAGCAGCAGCAGAAAGGCGAATTCTTGCATTGCGTCTCTCGGGAGGTGCTGCCCGCATGCGACCTCCAGCAACTTCTGCTGCTGCTGCAGTGCGCGGTGCAGCTACTGGAGTACCCTAACTTGCAGCAACAGCAACAGCAGCAAAAATACCAGCGAGAGCAGCAGCAGGCGCTTTACGTGGCGACGTTTGTTGATGATCTGTTGCTGGCTATTGAAGGGAGTGTGAAGCAGCAGCAGCACCTTTACTACAGCGACAACGGCAACAGCAGCAGCGGCAGCTCCAGCAGACTACAGATGCTCGTGCTTCTAGCAGACGCTCTCTTTTCCCCGTCTCTCAAATGGCATTTGCGGCCTCCTGCTGCTGCTGCTGTAGCCTCAGCTCTTGTTGAGCAGCTGTTGCTGGAGATTCAGCTACTGCAGCGCCAGCAGCAACAGCAGCAGCTGGGCATAGAACAGTTGGCCCTGCAGCAGCAANGATTCAGCTACTGCAGCGCCAGCAGCAACAGCAGCAGCTGGGCATAGAACAGTTGGCCCTGCAGCAGCAAGTCGTGCTTGCAGTGCTTAGGACAGTCTCCGGGGCTTACTCTGTGAGTCGCTCTTGCTGTGGCTGCAGTTTGGGGTTGCTTGCGCTTGCTGCAGCTGCTGCTGCACGGGGTCGCCCAACTCTCAGCCTGTCAAGGTTTATTTTGCTGCGGGTGCTGACTCTGTGCTGATGCTGCTGCTACTGATGTTGTTGCTACGGTGCAGTTTGGTGAAGAAAACGAGGCAACGCAAGAGGCAGCAGCTGGATTGGATAAAGCAGCTCGAAGCGGCGCAGCCGCAGGACGAGGAGCAGTAGACATTTTCCGTTTCCCTTGCTGCAGCCCGCAACTGCTGCGGCTGCTCAGCGAGACGATCATTATGCTGCAGACTACGGGGGAGGCTGTTGTTGCTGCAGCGGGAGCAGCCGATGCAGCAGATGCTGAATCGCAGCAACACCAGCGCCCCCGAGGTGAAGCAACTGCAACATTGAAGACACACTCGAACAGTTTGATCCTTGCTGCTGCTGCTGTCGCCCGGTGCCTGAAGCATCGCAACAGCAGTGCCCCGCAGGTACTGCAGGCTTCCACCAAGATGCCTTTACTGTTGCTGTTGCTGCACGTGCATTTTGCTGCTGTTACCACAGCTGCTGTTGTACTGCATCTGCTACAACTGATTCTGTGATTCCTGTTGGTGGTGCTGATGCGTGCTTCAGGTGCGTTGGGGTGTCCTCGCTCTACTTGCTCGGCTGTATGACTCAGCTGCACTTTTCTTTTCGCGGTGCAGCGGCCTTCCAGTAGCAGCAAGTGCGACGGGGACCTTAACTACAGAGCAGGTCAGACTGATATTGATGCTGAAACATCTGACGCTTCTGCAGCACCAGCAGCGGCAGCTGTTGCCCAAAGCGGGCCGCATGTGCTGCTGCGTTTATTTCTGCTGCTGCTGCCTTACGGGTTGCGCTGCTGCTGCAACTACTGACGAGACTTCAGGGATTGCTGCTGCTATCGTTCAGGTGCTGGTGCTGCTCCAGTGCCATTTGCTTCTCGTAGAGGGTTGTAAGCAGCGGCAGCTGTCCGAAGGTGCAGGGCCAGCAGTTGTTGCCTCTTTTGGGGTCAGCATGCCGCAGACAGCAGCAGCTGCTGCTGCAGCTGCAGCAACAGCGACGCGCTCCCCAGCTGCTGAGCAGTTACTGCGAGATATTCAAAGGGNGCTGCTGCAGCTGCAGCAACAGCGACGCGCTCCCCAGCTGCTGAGCAGTTACTGCGAGATATTCAAAGGGGCCTTCGCTCCTGCAGTCTGCGAACAGAGTCGCTCGAAGGTAGGCTGCACATATATCAGCTTGTGACAGATTCTCGCTTAGGTGTGTGTTGGTGCTCGTGTGCGTTCCTCGGCTAAGAGCACTTCCTCTTATATAGCAGCAGCTGCCGCTTGCTGCTGCATATCACAGACGCGCGCAGTGCTGTCTTTAGTTTTTGTGTTCGCAGTTCTTGGAGCCGCCACACACCTCCTTGGCAGGATTCAGAGTCTCACTGAACAGGGTCAGCAGCTCAACGACACCCGCCGCGGCAGAATAAGCAGCTTTCAGCTGAAGCAACAGCTTACAGCGTAGAGTGCAGCTGCTCAGGCGCACCCTCGGTTGCTGCTGCAGCTGCATCGGACTGCTGCAGCTGCATCTTGAGGGTGCATTCTAACGCATTTCTGAGCGTCTGCGGTTCGCTTTGTGTGAAACTGGCTGCCGCAGGGAGAATTACTGCGCTGGAGGGATCTGCGCTGCAGCAGCAACGCACGTCTCTAACAGATCGTATCATTGGATGGTTCCGTCCCCGACGGCAACCCCGCGTTTAAAAAATCATAGGTACTGCGGCTACCACGTCTGATAACAAATTTCAGTGGGGTGTTGGGGCTTTCCCATCAGCGCACGGGCAATGGTAGGGGTCACTCCAGTGGCTCGCCCACTAGTTGGCGAGGTCATGTTTTTTCCGCTAGTGTTGCGTCCGCCGCTGCTTTTTGTTTTTCTTGTTTCTGGAATTTCCATTATTTTTCAGGGACGTGCTGCTGCCGGTGGAACCCGGCGCTGCTCTTGCTGCTGCGTCAGATTCAGGCTAGCCTGTGCACCGCCACGCGCTGCCTAACAGACCTACGCACATTGTATAGGCAGGTTCCCTGCAACGTGACTTAGGCGAGTTTAATTGCTCTAATTTTATTGAACCGAACTCCATCGTTAAACCGGATCCCGTGCAACCGAAGTCGTACTATGCCCTGTCAGTCGCTCGCGGTCGAGCTGAGCAGCCGTTGCCCGTCGGCAGCGGACCGCCGTCCCGGTCGCATTTCCTGCAGTGCCTCTGCAGAGCATGAGTTGCGTCTTCTTCTAGAGTCTTTCGTAGTCTTCCGTAATCTTTTAAATTTTCTTTTCGCTTGAGGTGCTTTCGCACGGAACAGACTTCCTTTTTCCTGTCCTAGCACCGTTTGGACGGTTTTGCAAACTCCTACGGGCAACAGGAGCAATCGCCCAGTCGACTAATTCATAATAGTAGCTCTTTTTGATAACAGTAGCAGCACAGAAGCGCGCAGACAACACAGACTGTCCTGGCTCGAGGTCTACGCAAGGGTAGATGTACACCCAACTGTACCGCCGCTTCCCGCGATGAGTTACTTGGTGGGCTACCAGCAGCAGCCAAAGCAACTGCTGCTGCTGGTGGTGTTGCTGTTGAACGTTGCTGGCGTGCATCCAATCCGGTACAAACCGTCGCAGCAAAAGTTGGATCTGGGGGTTGGTAAAGTGATGGCCTTGCACAGCAATGAGAACAGCACTGACAGCGTGCCGCTCTCGCTGCTAGTGCTGCAGCAACACCAAGCAACAGGACTCCCCGAAGATGTTCCAGCATCAGCAGCGGACGTTTCGACGACTACCAAAAGGGAGACGCAATCATTTCTCCAGCACAGTAAGGCACCTGTCGCCTAGCGATTTATGGTGGAACTAGCTTGCAGCGCAGAGCGTTGTATATATCTAGCTTATACGGTATGCCTGCTGGTTCCTGTATAGGTGGCTGGGTACTGCCAAGAGAATCTAAACAAACCCGCGGCATGTTCAACTGGTACACAAACCCGTACACCTACGTCATCGTTGGTGGGATGGTTGGTGCCCTAGTAGGCCTAGGGGTCTGGTGTATAGTCGCCTCGTACACGTACAAAACCTGAAGAGGCAAAACGAAATAACTGCAGTGCATCAATCAATTTTTAAGCCTGAACATCGCCCAAATAAGTGTTCGTCTAGGGACTGCAGCCATCTGGCTGGCATACTTTGTCTTGCAGGCGTTCAGGCAGTGCTGCTTAATGCCGCATTTCTGTATAATATGCCGCCAGTCGGATTGAAGTATGCGCAAACTCTATTTTTAAGGCCTGCCACTCCATCTAGGGACTCCAGGCTCACGGATCGCATACTTTGCCTTGTCAAGCAACATCGCCTGAGCAATACCTCATGCCCTTCCCTGTGCATAGTGAATCCGATTTGCGTCGCGCTTCATTTTGCTTTTCACGAGTCGGAGAAGCTGCCCCCCTCCACCTGGATGTAACCATCCCTTGAAGCGCAGGGGAAATTTCTTAAACCCCAGGCAGTCGATCAAATTGCTGAAGCTTCCGCGTGTGCATATAGAGCTAATCTGCATCTCCCGGCTGGGCCGGGATCAGCTAAAACTACAACTGACTAGTCGTTTCACTGCAGTACAGTGCAACCTAAAAGGGAGAGGAAAACAGCATGACTGATTGCAGTGGAGCGTGATTTTGGGACGGCTAGCGACGACGATGTTGCAGACACCTTTTGAAAAACTCAGTCAGGACTCAAAACAGATAAAGCCCGAGGGGCTGTGGCAGTCTATACAAAACTTGGTGGGATCTGAGATATTGCAAGGAGCCGGACGACGCTCCTCGGCAAGCTGAGGGTATTGGCAGATTGGGCGGGACGCACTTACTGCGAAAGTTTTGAACGAGGGATAGAACAAACGCAGCATGTGCACGAAGCTAACAGTGTGCTTGTGTCAGCTTGCTTAGCTCATCATTCTCTGCAGTAGCGTACATGCTGGGAAAAGCGAGCAGCAGAGTTCAACACCACGGCTGTTCTGGGCTGACCGAAAAGCATTATGTATGCACTTGAAGCAGACCCACAACGCCAAAACAATAACTGATGATGCAACCAGAGACTTACCTTCTGCAAATGCAAAGCCCACAAAAGGTGCGGCGCTTCTACTGTGAGCACAAAGCTCATGCATTTGCACATCAACAAACTAAACCGTTTCCCGATAACGAAGTATAACTACTCAATCGTCGCATGGCTAAAAGTGCAATTGACACGGTATTTCG